GGCTTTTATAAGTTTCCCGTGGCACAATCCCGGTAGGACTTGTATTTCTCCATGCAGAGTCCTCCTAGGATTCATACTCTTCAGGATAATGCTTATCCTTTCACACCCTCCCCCACTGCTTAAACCAAGTGGGATGGTTTTCTCCATAGCCGAACTACCACACGGCCGAAATAACACTGGCTATGCTGAGCCACAGAGAAGGCCGAACTATCCTTAGCTCGGTCTTCTCCTTTAACTCATTACTTCGGCTGCCCCTGTTCAACCTTGGTGTGCTTAGATCAAACTTCCAAGTAACAAGTTCTGACTGACCTAGCCAGAGTATGTTATGACCGGACTAACCCCGAAGCCGGTCTTCCCAGAACATACTGCGACCGGACTAACTCCAAGACCGGCCCTACTTCGAGTTGTCTCTGGACCGGAGTAGCCTTACTCTTCCTTGGGCCGAAGCAACTATCTCTTCTTGAGCCGGAATAAACTTACCTCCTTGGGCCGAAGTAACTTTGTCTCCCCAAGGCCGGAGTAACCTTGCCCTCTAGGCCTGAGTATTCAGTACGGCCTTTTTACGCAGTCCTACGCGTTTTGGGCCTTAATGCCCAACTCTCAGCTCGGCCCAATTTTTCCCAAAAATTACCCTCTCAATTGCCCCTTAATTCCATCTGCACAGCATGATTGTGATTACCTGTCTACCAGCCGAGCTGAAGTTTTTAAGCCTTTCCAGCCGAGCTAAAAAAACCGTTTAGCCTCTCCTGCCGAGCTAAAAAACCCTTTAGTCTTCCGGCCGAGCTTATTTCACTCCGGGTTCTACTTGTCTGGTCAAAACGTCTCTTCAATCACAGCGACTGCTGCGTTTTGGGCCTCAAAACCCAACTCGAAGCTCGGCCCATTTTTCCCAAAAATTACCCTCTCAGTTGTCTACTTGTTTTTTAGTCAAATATAATTGATTATGTGGTTACTAATACTCAATCAATCTAATTTTCTTTTCATAAATAACGAATCTTATAATTTTGGATTGAGTAATTACAATCTATTTCTATCAATTTTTTTTTTTTACTATATGGCATATGAATCTAATTGCTAACATTGTATTGAAAATATATATTATAGATACAACCCATTGTATTAATATTATGATGACGAGTAAAATAATAAATATAAAATGAAATATATAGGGGTTGTTTGTTGTAGTTTTTATAAGTTTTTCTCTCTCCCTTTTCACAAAACAGCCTTCCTCTTTCTCGAAACACTTCACTTTCTCTCCTCCCTTGCTTCCTGAGTCTTCGAGTTTGTTGTGTACGTGCCTCCATTGCTGCCACCGCCTCCATCTCTAGCTTCTCTCTTATACAGGTAAACAAGCCTATCCTTCTTGCTTTCTTTGTTTTCGTACTCTGCTTTCCATGCTTTGTATGTTTTTTTGCAAACAGTTTGTCCATTTCTGTTTTGCTTTTGTACTTTTATGGAGAAACCATTAGAACTCTATGTATATGTCATATACCCTAGAGAAAAAATTTCGATTTTGATCCAGAATCACGTCTCAACCGAACTTGGATACTGTTCGTATCATGTATGTGAATAGATTCAGAACATAACCGGACTAGAACTAGGAATATCAGTAGTTTCTTTTGACCCACTCTAGCCAAGCTAGGATCACCGAACAAGCTTGCTCATACCGAACTAGGTACTTCGGTCTATAACCGAGCTAGGATTTTGGGGCCAAGCCGGCTTTCTTAGTTCTTGAACCGAACTCAGAAAGCCGCCCCTAAGAGCTCAACCGAAGTAATTTTCCTCATACTGTAACCGTTTTAGGCCTTGGGACTAGTCCAGCTTTCTTAGTTTTTTAGACCGAACTCAGAAAGCTGCCCCTAGACGTTTAACCGGTCTAATGTGCTCAAAACCGTGCTAACAAACATTCTGAAGAGCCGAGGTAGAACCAGCCCACTAAGCCGAAGTAGGATTTGTATATCTTGCTTATAATTTGTAGCGCGGTCAATCGATCTGTGCTTAACCCCTTTGTTTTCTACCTTGCAGACTTAGGTTGCCCAGACACTCCTGCGTGTGCTCAACCGAGCTACTGAGCCAAATTTTTGTACCGAAATAATTTATTCATAAATTATACAACAAATGGGTAAGTATAGATATTTAGTCGAAACCCCTGGTGGCATGGCCGAATTCAGGCAGGACTACCAGATTCCTGATGATGTCCAACTGGTATTGGCCAAGAAAGATGCTACTCCCTGGGACAATGAAGGCTCCGTCCCCTTTACCCTTCAGTCAATAATTGAAACCGGACTACGGTTTCCTGTCCAACCGCTAATCTGTATTATTTCAACTGAGGTACGGTACGGCTTAGATATATACTAAGTACGTCTGGGTACGTCAAAATTAAGAAGAAAAAACTTGAGTACGTGTTTCATGTATCCGGTACGTATGCAGAAGTACCATACGAGGTACGGTATGCCGGTAAGTACCCGGTACGGGTACGGCATGTTTTTCGAAGTACCCATACTTCATAGGTAACTGTTCTGTGGGTTCTTTATTCAAGAAAATTGTTGTTCAAAGGCTTTGCACTCACATAGCAGCAGCTATTGCTGCCTTCAAGTGCGCCCAAGAACACTCTTTTGTAAATGTTAATATCATTACTAACTCTCAACCTTTCTTTCAAACAGCTGGAGAACAATAAAGAATTCAAAACCACAGCAGCCCCATTGTTTTTTGATTTCTGCATTTTAGTTCGTTCTTTCAATATTTGCAGAATCTCACTAGGTAATAGCTGGTTGATCTCGCAAACCCTCCGTTTGGCTAGTTTTGCTGCTTTTTCAAGAATTCATGCGAAAAGCAATACTTCTTACCCTTTAATAATGGATGAAGAGGCAATTAGCTATGGAGGCTTTCGCGATTACATTTAGCTTTTGTTAGTGTTATTGCTTATGTTATTTTGTATTGGTTGCTTTATATAATTGTATGGATGCTTAAACTCTTGTAATCTTTATCTCTATCAATGAATTTCTCTTTTTTGCCACCCAAAAACAAAAAAAAAGGGTTCCAAAATGATTTTTGTTCCTGGCAAGGCAGATTGATTTTTCTCAATTTCTGAGTTGTTTCCAAAATACTTTTGTTCCAGGCAAGGCCCCATCATGTGCCCTATTTCTCCTTACTATCTTTATGGAAGTGGGAACTGGGAACCAATTCTTTCTTATTTTAGTTTGCCCAAGAAAGAAATCAGGTTGTGCCAGTCATGGTGGTGTGTGTGTGTGGTCACTAGTAAGGAGAGGGGAGAACATTGTTGTTTGTTGGCAAGGGAGAGTGAAGGGGCCCTAACAGCAGAGGCAGAACTGGGCATCGGCAAAGTTGTTTCTTATTTCAAATAAAGTTTGTATAAACTTCATTTACAAGCTGAAGTGACATCTTTACTTAATTCATTGGCTAACCAGCAGCAAATAAAATAAAATAAATAGTACTAATAGTATTATCCTCTAAAACAGTGAATGAGAATGTGAGTGCCTCTAAGGGAATTCTTGGCAATGTTATGATAAGTTCACAGTCCAGTATGGCAAAAAGCTGAAGAAGAGACAGTTTTGCCAAGCAATAATAAACTACTATAAAAAGTAACAACTCTTTTTGAAGACATTTAGGGTATGTTTGGTTTGTGTTTGTAGAGTAATTTTTGAGATAAAAAGTACGAAAACTTGTTTGGTTTGACTAGTCACTAAAAAAACTAAAAAGCCAAAGAACTATACAAAAAAGTCAAAGATTTCATTTTTTTTTTTGTATTTTTTGCAAGTTTTTTCCTAAAAAGCCAAAACATATTCCAAACATACTAGTTTTTTTAACTAAAAAGTTACTAAAATAGCATATTCCCAAACCAACCCTTAGTCGAGCCTTGCATTCAACCCCAATTTTTTTTGAAAACAATGCAACTTGTGAGGAGAATAATTTGGTTGCCCTTGACATACATTGCGGTGTCGTTTGCAACAATAATGATCCAGCGGTAGGGATTGGAGTTGTGTTCAATCTTAGTAACTGTCTATGAAGCATAGGTACGGGTACGGGTACTAGTACGATACGGGTACGTTGATACGGTAAAATTCAAAAAAAATAGGATACTGGTACAGGTACGGCTTGTCACTTCTTCTAAATTATTTAAAAACATATATTTACACATTTAGATGTTAAATATATCTTATGAATATAAAATATTTAGACTTAAATTAATGATAATGTTATTTTGAATGATAAACACGTAGTTTAATAAGTAAGAAGTTAACAAACGTTCCTATGTAAGATCACCATCTTACCTTTTTTTTTCTTTTTAGATATTTCTTATCAACTATTCTTAATAAAAATAATAACCAAATAGACAAACTATCAATTTCTAAAATAACAATAATTAATAACGATATTGATATTTGGACAATAAGCATACATACTTTTCTAAGTAACAGTGAACAAATAATAAAAAAGAATCATTTAGAATCTTTTTTTTTAAAGCCTAAAATATTTTAAAAAGTATAACTAATCTCATACATGTAATATTTAATTTAATAAAATAGTAATAGATAATTCATAGTGTAATTTTAATCTTAAACATCTTTAGAAGATATATTACAATTTTTTAAAGGAAAAGAAAGGTTAAAAATATGTTGGGTTTGACTAAATCTAATTGGATCCTATTAAAAACTTCATGATCACTAAAATAATAACAAATCATGTATATATGTTGGTTATTTTGGTATTAAACGCTATTAGAAGTTGTATTATGTCATTTTTACTAAAAAGTTGGAGGAAAAATAGAGTCGAAAATATGTCGGACACAATAATTTTAAAAATTGCATGAATCGTAAAAAGTGAATCGAATCGTGAATCGATTGTGAATCGTGCGATTCACTAGAGATTCACTTTCAAAATAGATTCACCCTTAGATTCGTATCGATTTTGTAAAAATCGGGAATCGAATCGTGAATCGTAAGATTCTAATAACAGAGCTTGTTTCATAGCCAGAGAGAAATCAACCAATGGGTTATATAATTTGTATAAATTGATGAATAAATTATTCAAATATACAAATACATTTAACAAAAAAAAGAAAAGAAAAAAGAAGCATATAACAAATGCAGATAAAACATATCCTATGAATTGAAGTTTCAGCACCAAAAAAAAAAAAAAACTAGGCTACTAATGGGAAAATAGAGAACCTATAAATAACCTTGAAATTTTTTGAAGAAACTGGTGTAGTAACATAATTCATCTGCACCTAGTTGGCTGGTCATGTCTCCTACTACTTTCACCTTCGCTTGTATCCGAAGCACCTTCACCAAACAGCTTATCACCTACTTTTGAAACTGTGAGATTGTCTTCTTTATGATCACGATGGGAATGCAGAGGTTCTCTCCCAATTCGTCTTTCCTGCAAATCAAAGTAGATGACAGATTATTTTTCTGATGTTGTTAATAATCTCAGAAACCAGGTTTTGAAGTTTGAATGAACAATTCTTGCATACATCACGAAATAGCAGATCATCTGCCTCAAGCATATGGATCACGTGTCCCATTTTGGGCCTTTTTTGAGCATCAGGATCAACACATCTAAGAGCAACCAACAGAATGCGTTTCAGTGCTTTTGAAGGTGGCATCTCAGGCAACTTTGGATCCACAACTTCCTCAGATTTTCGATTTCCAACCATTGTCTTCAACCAATCAACTAAGTTCACCTGTAATTATTTATTTTCACTTCGGATTGTTAGAAATGATGGAGGAAAAGAGGGGTGAAAGATAATTAGGATAGCATGATATTTCAAGACTAACCTCTCCCTTTGGTCGACTATAATCAACAGGGTTTCTCCCAGAAATTATCTCCATTATAAGTATTCCAAAGCTATAAATATCACTCTTCTCATTCAACATACCAGTGCAAGCGTATTCCGGTGCAACATAACTAGAAAAATCGTAGGGTATTAGTTATTTTCCTATTCAAGATAACAAATAGTTATCCCAATAAAGCTTGAATCACTGCTAGAAAAATGAACAGAGAAAAAAAAATTTAAGCATGTAAATAAACTAACCCAAATGTTCCCATCACACGAGTTGTTACATAACTTCTCTCAGAACACAAGAGCTTGGCAAGCCCAAAATCTGACACCTTAGGATGCCATTGACGATCGAGTAGTATGTTGCTAGATTTGATGTCTCGATGGACAACCTTTGGTTCAAGACCCTCATGGAGATAGGCCAATCTGCAAGAACAAGAAAAATGAAAATAAATGACCAAGCTACATTTGACTGCAATAATTAACAAAGATGGGAGATAGAACCAATCCACAAGAATTCAGATACCATACCCTTTTGCCATTCCCAATATGATATTCATACGGATGTCCCATGTTAAAGGGCTGACTTCTCCTACATCTCCATGAAGCCACTGGTCCAAATTCCCATTGTCCACATACTCGTATACAAGCATCCTGAACAACAAAAAAGTCAAAGATTGAAACATTGTCAAGCTTATTGATGCTGAAGGGAAACCATGTACTGATTTTGAATAGAAAGATCATCATCAATACCTGTAAGCACCTTCCACACAATAACCCAGCAACCTGACAAGGTTTTTGTGTCTTACACGCCCAATTGCTTCCACCTCTACTTTAAATTCCTTCTCAGCTTGACCCCTGATAACTCCGTCAGTCTCGTGAGCTCAAGCATATAAGAAAATAGCAGGAAAAAACTAGATCTAATGTTGAAATCATAATTCACAGATCGCGAGTCAAAAAGCAGTCAAAGGAGCAAGTAAGCAAAAAGAAATCTGATAAAAGTTTCTACCACCTAATCTAACCTCCCCATGAAATTTGACTAAATTATAGTCTAATCCAAAAATCACCAATTTCACAGGTTACGAATCCAAACGGAAACAATTTGAAAAGAAAAAGGCAGCTCCTTTGTCAGAAACGCTAATCCTTAAAATCACCAACTCAGAGGTTTGATTCCAGACAGGAACAATTTGAAAAAGAAAAAACAGCTTTCTCCAAATTTAAAACAATTTAGGATTGACTTAAATTGCAGAGTCTAATCCTAAAAATCACCAATTTCACAGGTTAACAATCAGAAAATCAAAAGACAGCTCTTTTTGTCAGAAATTGTAACCCTAAAACAACCAATTCAGTGATTTGATTCCAAACAGGAACGATTTGAAAAGAAAAAGAAAGCTATCTTCTTCAGAATTGAGTCACTTTTACAACAAATTTTGCATAAAAAGAACAAACACAACCATCAAAAGAAAAGAATCAAAACTACAGAGTCACAAACCCACATAGAAATCGTTGATCATATATCATTTTCATGTTATTTTCTAATATTATATAAGCATTGAACATTCAAATTGACATTCAAAGACCCCCAATTGCAAAATAGAAGTTGAATTAAGCAAATCGATACCTGTTATTCAAAAGATTCTTCACAGCAACACGAGTATTATCAGCCAATACACCACTATAGACGATACCATAACCACCTTCACCGATCACATTCTCATCAGACAAGCCATTCGTAGCCGCCTCAAGCTCCCTCAACGTGTACCACCGCCCCCACCCCAGATGCGACACCTCCGGCATCGAACCGCCGCCTCCAAACGACGCCGTGTCGTTGCCGCTCGTCGCTCGGCTCTCACCGCTCGACGGTCGATCGGAGAAGACAACCCTGTGCTCGGCCTTGCCGATATCGATCTGGATCTCCGGCACGGCGATTGGGCGGTGATCTGCTGCGGCGTCGTGGACGATCTCCTGGATTTCCTTGGAGACGACCGGAGTGAGGTCGAGCTTGTGGTGGTGGAGGAGCTTGGGGGATTTGCGGCGGCGAGAGGTGATGCAGAGAGAGAGGAGGAAGAGGATGAGGACGATGATTGCTCCAACGAAGATTCCGATCACTACCCATAATCGGAGGCCGAATATCGAGGTTGGCTTCGAGAGCTCGCTGTTCACGAACGCTGCGTCGTATACTGTCATCTTAGAGTGAGAAGACTATATATGTGTGTGTATATATATATATATATAGAGAGAGAGAGAGGAGATCAGATTGAGAGAAATGGCATTGTTGTGGCCGGAAATGAGGTTTTCTGGCGAGAAGTGGTTGTTTCCGACAACAGGAGTTGGAGAGCCAGTGAACTGTACAGAGAGAGAGAGAGAGAGAGTGCGTGTGTGTGATCTCTCTATAACGACAGTCTATTCCCGACACAGTGAGCTTTAGAGAGAAAGAGAGAGAGTTTAGTGTGGTTAGGTTTTTTGTTTCTCTCTCTTACATCTGCCCTTAATTACTTGCACCAATCTCTTTCAGTTTTTAAAAAGGGAAACCATATTGTACATCTTTTTACTTTATTATTAAAAAAATAATATAATTTTATATATTTTTTTAAATGTCATGACCCAATACAATATAAAATATAATTAAAAATTTATGAGTCATAATTAAAATAATATTATAATTAATAAAAAAAATTAATTATAATTAAAAAAAAAGGACATAAAATAAAATAAATTTCATAACTTAATATAAGCATTTTGAAATTAAGAAATGACAGTTAATCTAATAATTTATATACTTGTCCTTTGAAACAGTAAGAAAATTAGAGAGAGGTGATTAAGTGAGAAGATTAGAGATAGATAATTCAATTTGATTGAGCGATTTCAATCATTGGTTGTAATCTATTTTATTAATTCTTAATAATCATTTTGTATGGCAAAAAAAAAAAAAAGATTTAATTTGAAATTTTTGATTTTAATAATTTAAATTATTTATTTTGTAAAAATCTCAATGCATATTATCCAATTGATTTAATTTTTTTCATCATATACACACACAAAAAAAAATGAGTTTTTTTTAAAATATTCTAAAAAATAATAATTTGAAGAATTGACCTACTTTTCAAATTATTTGAAAAACTAAATAGCTTTTTAAAATCGCATGTTGAAAATACAATTATCTTAATGAAGTCCATGACATCATAACTTACATTTTTAACATGTGATTTTAAGGTATAATTGCATTTTAAAAATGTAATTTCAATTTCAAAATCGCATTTTCAAAATGCGATTTCAAAAAGTAAATTAGTTTCTCAAATAGTTTGAAAACTTTATCAATTCTCTAAATTGTTTTTTTTTAGAATATTAAAAAAGACCTTAAAAAATAAAAATATAATGCATAGTAAGGCCTTGTTTGGCAACCTTCAATTTTAGCTAAAAAGTTATTATAAGTTATCACATCACTCTCTCTACTTTTCTGCCCATCTTTTTATAAAAAATTAAAAAATTACTAAAATAACATGTTTAGCATACACTATTTTAGTCCATTTTTTACTTTTTTATCTTTTTTAGGTCACATCAATCAACATCTCCTCTCTACTTTTCTACATATCTTTTCATAAAAAGTTAAAAAGTACATTTATTTAGAACATCTTAAACCAATGGTACCAATCACTATTGTTTCTCATACAACAATTCGGTATATTATTAAAAATTACCACTAATTTGGTACCAATCACTAAAAAATAGGGATTGATACAATATCGCCAAAGAAAAATGCTTGAGAGCTCTAGGATAAGAGCTCTAAAACATGCACTAATGACATAGAGGTGTGTGGGGGTCCAATTTGGTGTGATGTTTTAGCTTGAATTTTTTTTTTCTTTTGGACATGCCAGCTTAGTAGAGCTCTTTTTAGAGTTCTACTTTTAGAGCTCTATAGCATTGTTGTATCACCAAATTAGTGGTGGTTTAGCGGTACCAAATTAGTGATACCAATCAGTACTATTTTTCATATATTCTTTAATTATCAATTAATCATTTCATTTACACATCATTAAATCTAAAAAGTGATCTAAATTATAGACTTGTATATTATTTTATTTTTTAATAAGTTGACTCAAAATATATTTTTGTTTGGGATGACCTAAATAAGTACACTTTTTATCTTTTTACAAAAAAGATGTGTAGAAAAGTAGAGAGGTGATGTGATGAAAAAAAGATAAAAAGTTAAAAGATAGATTATTTTTGGATTGCCAAACTTGGCCTATAAAAAATGTGGTAATATTAATTTTTTTACATAATCAAAAAAATGTTAAATATTATAAATTAATATTTTGTTAAAAACCTCATGTAATCATGTTAAATTTTAAAAGGGCTATTTACACAAAGACATAATAAATTATTGAGAAATATTATTTAAATTTTTCTAAATTATAAAAGCGTATAAATGAATATATTTAAATTTTAATTATAAAAATGTATCAATTGGGTCCATAACAGAATGGATTAAAGTGAAAGACAATAAGGCTTGGTTTAGGGTGTTCAAAAAAATCCAAAAAGTTAAAAAGTTCCAAAAAAAAAAAAGTAAAAAAGTTATCACTATTTACAAATTAGAAATATTAAAAAATTAGGGCAAATTACATATACCCCCTCGAGGTTTAGCAAAATTACAGATACCCCCTTTAGATTTGAGAAATTACAGATACCCCCTAAAGGTACTATTTGCATAACAAATTAGGGGGTAAATTGTTATGAAAATATAAACCTCGAGGGGCAATTTGTTATGAAAATATAAAACTCAGGGGAGTATTTGTAATTTCTAAAACCCCATGGGGATATCTGTAATTTAGCTAAATCTCGAGGGAGGTATATGTAATTTGTCCAAAAAATTAATATACATAATATTTTAATCAAACTAACTTTACACATTTTTCAGGGCTGAATTGACTCCTTTAGTACCGTGTAGAGGTGTACACGGTCCGGATTGGTTCGGTTATGAGAAAATCTAAGAACCGAACCGATCCTAACGGTTCTGTGATTTTGAGAACCAGACCAGACGGGACCGTTACACTTGTAAAACCAGACCATAACCAAACCGAAAAAACGGTTCGGTTTCGGTTTGGTTTACGGTTCCAAAAATTTCTATTTACAAGAATAAATTGTTAATATTAGCAAAATAATTACTCAAACTAATTACATTTAACTCATTATAAAAACTAATAATATTAAGGCATTACTTAATATTACATATATATACCATCATAATATCATTAAAATTATAAAAAACCAAATTAATAAAAATAAAACTTGATATTATATATATATATATATATCTTTTAAAATTCGGTTCGGTTCGAACCGCGATTTTTTCATAAAATCCATTAACCGAACCGTTTTTACGGTTCTCATATTTTTTAATCCGAAACCGAACCAATTCTTAATAGAACCGAACCAAACCGTATGATTCGGTCTGGTTCGGTCCGGATTACCGGTTTGAACGGATTTTTGAACAGCCCTAGGAGGCGTATTGCCTTTGCGCCCCTCTCCCGTCGCCACCTCTTTTACCTTGATCTGGCGCTTCATTGCCTTCATGTCCGCCGTCATCTTCCTTATTAGTTCATCTTGCTCTTTTACGCGATCCTCTAGAGGTTGAGGGTCGATTCTTCGCCTTTGCCTTTCAGGACTTTGTGAGCGAGAGCGACGGGGGTTGTTGTTCCGCCTCCCCCTTGCATCCCTCCGGGGATTCTATCGCTGGGGCTCTAAGTCTACCATGGGAGGGACAAAGGGCAATCCTTCGCGCCTCCTATCCCCCTTTGGGGTTTGTCCGTCAATGGCGGACTGCAGCAAATCTTCGTTGTGCGCCATTCAACTAGCGAGGGAAACTTGACCAAGAGGTTTTGTTCTTTGTCTGATATTCCCACAGACGGCACCAATTGTACGGGAAAGAAATAACCTTCTCTTATAATCCTGTTGATCAAGTTTGCGCTCCTCCGTACGTCGTCGCTTTACTCCCTTACAACACAAACGTGAGTTAGCCGGCGGGTGTGTGACGGATACCTCTCCGATGCCTAAGTCAGCGAAATAAACAAATAGACAAAAGCCCTGTTTTTTATTAATAAAAAATTATAATAAATAAATATCTATTTTTTGTCTTTAAAGTTTAGGAATTTTAAAAAAATCAATAAAGTCAAAAAATTCTTTTTTGGTCAATTTTTTGTACTTTTTTTTTTTGTAAAAAATTAAAAAATTATTCTAAATATATTCACTTTGCTTGGTTAGAGTTTTCCAAAAATACTTTTCAGAAAATTCTACTTTTTTATTTTTCGTGTTTTTTTTTGTTTTTACTGAATTTTTTTAATATTTTAAGTAATTTTTTTTTTAATTTTTAGACAAACCTAACATAAATACACTTAAAAAGTATAATATTTGTGAAAAAAAATCTTTAAAAAATTCACTAAATATCAAAAAAAATAAAAAATAAAAAACGAAAATTTTGTACATTTTTCATATTTTTGTGTATTTATTAATTTTTTGAAATATTTTTTAACAAATATTTTATTATTTAGATAAATCTAAGTAAGGTACATCTCAAAAAATAAAAAATAAAAATTATTTAAAATTTTAAAAATATTCACTAAAAATAAAAAATCACGAAAAATAAAAAAATTAATTTTTAAAAAACTTAATTCAGAAAAGAAAAATGCTAGAGGTCTCAAATTTTCTACCAAATAAATGACCAAATGTCTCACATGGGTGTGGGGCCCACAAAATTGCGGACCCCACACCTATGTGAGACATTTAATCATTTGTTTGGTAGAAAATTTGGTATCCCTAGCATCACCATTCAGAAAATATCCGTAAACATACTAATAGCTTGCATGGAAATCCTTTGGATTGTCGATCGGTGAGAGAGATCGAGTACGTCATGTTACCTTGTTGGGGTACGTGGTATTAGCCACTGATCAAGACACGTGTCTGGATTAGGTGGCCATGTTGTTTAATGTTAGCTTCTCACCTTTCATAGCATGAGTAATACTACAAACTCTCACGCTTATCAATGTAGAAATTACTTATAATTTTTATCTTTTGATTTAGATTTGTACTATACAAATTTAATTTTTATCATACAAAGGCGCTGTTTGGGAAGCCTCTTGAGAGGCTATTGTAGCCTATTTTGAGAAAATAGCCCATAAGTCCCACTGTAGCACCATTTTCTCTGATTTAAAAAAAAAAAAAAAAATAAAAAATAAAAAAT